TTTGTTCTCTATTGTCAATACACTTGCCATCTGTCGTCAGGTTATTTCTGTAATTGTTGTAGATAATAATGTATTTATACAATATTTCAATATAATTATAAACTGTTATTTCAATAACAAATGGATATAAGGACAAACTTATCTTATACATCTTATATTTATATGTTTTCCTTGTTAAAATAACAAGTATTATAATACTTAGCCATTTTGTGAGGTGCACTTTAAGCACTTGTATATCTTAGTAAGTACTACAATTCTTATTATTCTTGACCAGATATTCAAGACTTTTTAATAGCTTTCTTAGCTTCTTATTACCTTCCTAAAACCCCTAGGTACACAATAAGCTCTTATACATAATGTAGAAAATATATATAATTTATATACATATAAGCTAATACAAAGTTTGAGATATTTTCCTAATGTACAAGGTTTTGTACACATTTCTAAAGCTTAGAATCACTAACTGGTTGTCTAAGTATAGTAGTCCTTAATCTTTACAAGCTCCTACAATACTTTCAAGATTGTATCAAAGCTTGTAACAGAACTCATCTGTGTTGTAACTATTCCTAATTGTTGTAAGAAGGTCAGGATCTGTAGAGATTTGTATAGACATACTTCCTAAGGTTTCCTGTACTGGGTTCTCATTTTCCAGACTAGCATTAAAGTCTGAGTAATAGGAGAGTGTATTAGCAACTGTGTTCTCTTCTCCTTTAATGTAATACAGCTTATAGTTATACTAGGAAAGGTCCTCTATCTACTAGGCTTGTCTCTAAGACAGATTATACTGTGTATCTAAGTATTTAAGAGTGTAGTAATCTGTGTAGACATGAAAATGTACGCCTAGGAGGTAAATGTACCATTTCTTAAGTGTGCAAACAATTGTAAGGAGTTCACACTCATGTACTAGGTAATTGTATTCTGTACTATTACATTACTTAGACTTGAATGTTACAGGTTTTACTGTTTTCTATAAGGATCCAGTACTAAGAACTGCTCTAGTTCTAGAATCACTCACATCTGTAGTTACATAAATCTGCTCTCCTGAATTGTGGTCTATAGAAGTAAGGTACTTGTAGCTGGTGACAATAGACTTGATTATATTGAAAGTGTGTTAGTGTTCTAGTTTCTACTCTAGAAACACCTTATTACAATTCTTACTTGTAAGTAGGGAAAGAACTATAGTATGTTCTGTAAGGTGTAGAAGGTATACTATAATATATTATAAAAGTCTAAGAAACCTGTAAATGTTCTAAGCTCTCCAGGGCTGTAGCCATTCTAGAATGTACTTAACCTTGTCTGAGTCTGCTTCTATACTCTTTTCTGTAATTAGATTTGAGAAACTTAACCTCTGTACAGAATAACTTAGTTTTCTTCTGTAAACAGATAAGACCCTTGTTATAGAGTGTCTACATAACCTTTCTAATGTTTCTAATGTGTTCTGCCTCTGACTCTAACCAGATAATAATATTATCTAAGTAAACATGACAGATCCTTCTAATAAGATGTTCTAAAGCCCTTATAACCCTCTACTATTGTGTAGCTAGTGTGTTGTATAATCCTATTAGTATGACTGTCTACTCATATAGTCTGAACAGAGTACTAATTGTAGTGAGTAGGATTTGTTCTAGATTCATATAGGTTTGGAAAAATGTGTTAGTCATATTAATCTTTGTATATATGTGTTCTCTAATAGTATTATTCATGATTTTGTCAATACAGAACAGTAGGGTCTGGTCACAGATCATGTTACTATTTAGTGCCTAGTAGTTGTATACTATGTGTAGAAGGTCTTCTTGATCTGCCTTTAGAATTAGGAACACAGGTAATGTATATAAGCTTTCTAACCTTTACAAACAACTAGCTTAAATGTACTAATCTAGGAGTGTATACTAGGCCTTCTAGTATGTCTGTAAGTATGTATAAGACCTTACAGCTACTACCTTTAACAAGTCCTTAAACTGTATATTGTGTATAATCCCTTCTAGAAGTTCTACAACAGATAGTATAGAGTCTAGGAAGTAATCTTAGTATTGTTACTTTAGCTTCCTATCTAAGGTCTCATATTACTCTAACCTAACTAGTGTTTTAATGTACTCCTGAACAGTTACAGTCAAGGATAGTACTGGTTCTAAGAGGATGTGTATAAGTTGTAAAATGTAGACTGATTCTGTCTTTTCTGCCTTTATTAGATTACATTTGGAATCCTTTAGGATAACTGTCTAGCCTTCTATGTTAATAACAATCTAGTTCTTCTAAAGGAAAGGTGTACTAAGAATCATTTTATTATACAAGTTATTAACTATACAAGCTTTTACAACCTTTAATGTTTATTTCTGATCTACTAACTACACTTGTAACTTTACCTACTCTATAATCTATTTTCCTGACTCTTCTACTGATTTGATAGTTAGTATTATAATAATGTGTCTTTTGAGTAGGAAGCACTTAAGGCCTATCCAGAACACTAGTTTCTTGTTAATCAGAACTGTAGAACAGTTAGAGTCAATCATAGGTTAAATATGAATCAGAGTAGAACTGTCTTCTATAAGAATATAGTAGTATAGTAGTTAGAGAATAGTAAGGAGTCAGAAATCAGAATGTACTTGGATTTGTCTCTACTTACAGGTTCTAGTACTACAGACTACTCAGTTTGTATAAGTATAGTGGATTTTTGCTTTAGACATAAGGATTCTATATATACTTCTATAATAGAAACTGTATCTTCAGGTTTTAGCAGACCTGTCAGACAATTGTCACTCTTATAGTTTACAAACAGTTTGTAGTACTGGAAACATTCCTGGTTCTTTATCAGGAGTTAGTACTCTGTATAAAATAAGGTAATATACTTTGTAGTACTTCCTAAGGTAACCTTTAGACTAACTGTTGTTAGGGTAAACTTTTTAATACACAGCTTCTCCTGGTCCTTCTTCTAGGCCTATTCTACAGTTAAGATAGTCTCTACACTATTGTAGACCTTTGTACAATCTGCTTCTAACTGTTCTGCTAGCTTGTATACATACTCTAACTATCTGTAGAGTCTTGTACAATCTATTACTTCCCTTCCTAGGATTGGTTCTAGTATTAGGAGGTGGTCTACAGGATTAGGAATTTAGCTATTTACTAGTACTACTATGTGCACCCTTTCTGTATACATTAAAATCTGTTTAGTATATGTTAGAACCAGTTTTGCAAGTGTAAGACAAAGCTTAAACTAAAGATTAGAGTGTAGATTAGTTTTGAGAAGCTTGTAAAGCCTGTTATAATTAAGGCACCAATCTTCTAGAAGACTGAAATTTATTCTAGTAACCTGTAGCTACTTTTCTCAGAAGTTGTAACTGTCTTACTATGTTACAAGCAGCTTGTTCTAAGTTTACTCTACCTAGTCTGTAGAGAGTATTTTGTACTAGAGCTCCTAGTAGAATGTGTCTAGTATAAGCTCCTCAAGCCTAAGCTAGTCATACTTGTACTACTAATGTAGCCTACTGTCCTGTAGGCATTCTATTACAACTGTAACTATACAGGTTGTAAGAATGGATTTAGTAGACACATACTTACAGAATACAGAGATTCATAACTAGAGGGTATACAGTATCAGATTGTCTAGAGTCAACATTAGAGGCTTTATAGTATTCTTCCAGATCAACTAGGCTTTAGTAGATATAGTTCAGAATATTGTATCAGGAAAAAGTCGCATTTCTTATAATATATTGTAGACTTTGTAAAGTAACATAAGTATTGTATGTATATTGTAAAGTAATTACAAGACTTGCAAATCAATTGTAAAGTTTGTATAAAACATGTTAATGTATATAAAGGCTAAGTAAGTGTTATGGATGAATGAAATCTATTACAAGTATTATACTAACTTTGTATAATAGTCTAAAGTATTATGCTTACATTACATTTTTATTATAATTTCAAAGAAAGGGTGATATTTACAATATAATAATATAAGAATAATAATTGTTGCCTTATAATTTATGCAAAAAGTATATTAATGTATATAATAGTGTAAGAGCACTTGTTGTATCATTATTATCTTAATAAAAGTATACTATAAGTATATAATATGTGTGTTATACTTAGACTATCTATACAAATAGCTTACAATATTTGTAAAAGTTATTTCATTGACTTGTAATAATTACATCAGTGTGTTTAGAAAGTTATATACATGTCATATTACTTTTTACTATATTACAAAGTAGATTAATTATTTTATTTTATACCTAAATACAATAATTGAAATGTTCTATCAGTTGACGACTCATATTATAGTTGCTTATGTAATCAACTGCTGAAGATCGAGAGCATATAATGACGCATTTCTCTTCGTCACTCCTTTACCCCCTACCTTCACCATCTCCCCAACTCTCTGCCCCCAACGCTATGTCGTCGCTTCTGTTCTCTCTAATCAAGTCCTCTGCTCACAAGCGTCCTATCAGCAGGCACTCTGCGCTTGCTACAACATAGGCAATAAACATCACTGCACTCGTCTCTCCAATCTGCTGTTGTGATGCCTGCGCCGAGCCTCAGATCGCGCGATGATGCCACCGAGCTGACTACACCGTCCTTCAACATAAAGCGTAAGCAGCCGGTCCACTTCATAATAACCTGCACAATAGTTGCTCATCCATCTCCTCCCAACTTTTTGTCTTTCATCCCTCCCATCCCTCCCACTCCTTGCTCCGCCGTTTGCGTTGCCTCTCCTCCGTTGTCCTTCTTGTTTTACGCTCGCCTTCCTTTTTGCATTCGCATTCACGCATCCGCATTGTTGACCAACGCTGAATGACTTCTTCAATAATTCCATGCATTCTTCCCGCTCTGCAGCGCAAGCAGCAATCGACGAGCACACGCTCGCGACAATGTCCATGTACGACCACTCCCAAGGGACAATCCTCTCTCCGACCCCCGCGCGCACTCTCCTTCCCCACCCACCATTCCATGCTTGACAACACCCTCGATGAACTCACACTGCGTGCATTTACAATCCCCAGTGCTGTTCATGACACCATTTCGAATAACGGAAGCAGCGGCCACTGCTCACACCTGTCCAAGTTGAGTCCGTCAACGCCTTCCACTTTGCCATCTCCCTTCGTTCCAGAACGTCCCAGAGATACGCTCTTACAATCCACGACTCAGTTCACGGTACCTCCTATTGGGCGCCGTTTATGGACAATAGAGCGCACGCACACAGACACGATTTCGTCTGCAGTCCGAATCAGCTCGTTCAACGCTCCGGATCTCAACCCCAGTGCACCACTCACACTCGCTACACGCCATCGCAGTGCATCCATCTCCTCAATCCAGTTACCTACTCACGCTGACAATGCTCACGCCCACACTTTAGCCAATCAATCTCACAACCTGTCTCACCCCTAATTGTTGTAGATTATAATGTATTTATATAATGTTTCAATATAATTATAAACTGTTATTTCAACAACAAACAGATATAAGGAAAAATAACTATTATTAAGATATTAAAATGATCTAAGAGCTTTATAAACAATTATAATATTTGCCATAATTAACAAGAGTGATTTAACCTTGTAATTTTAGAGATCCATTGTAATGCATTTTATATATTGCTAAGGAGAATAACTCTTATTTATGTTTACAAATTACACAAACCTTTCAGACTTTATAATGAATTGTAGTACTTTCTCAGAAACCGAGATCTGTTCCAAGTGTTTTTACTTTTTTACTTTTTTCACTTATTTTATACTATTATAAGGTAGTACAAGAATTTAGACTTTTTCCTGATGTGTAACTTTCTAGTGTCTTAGAGTAGGCTTACTTACATTACTATCTACTTCTAATAACTCTGAGCTACTCTCTAAGTCTGAGCTTAGAGTGGCTGTAGATGGTAGCAGTGTTGAGGAAGTAAATACAGATTCTCTAGTTAACAGAGGAGCAACTGTAGTAGCTTCTAAGGATACCTAGTACTAGAGGAAACAAGACTTAGTTATATACAATTAGAAAGAGGGCTAAACTCACTTTAAGACTGTAGTAGTGTATTCAGGAAGGCTAGAGAGCCTTACTAACAGTAGGGAGTGTTTAGGAAGGTTAGAGAACCTTGCTAACAGTAGGAGACGTTCAGAAAGGCTGGGGGAACCTTACTAACATGTAATACAATAAAGACTACTTTGTTAATGTTAAAAAAAAGTAGAACAGCACTAGGGAAGTACTGAACACTGTTACAAACAAGTTCCAAGTTTGTAGTAACACACAAAGGCTAATAGGACAAAGGTATCTTTGTTACAGTCAGAAATACAAATTTATACATGTACTAACAAAGAACTCACCTTTGTTATAGTCAGAAATACAAACTGATACAACAAAGGCAAAGGATACTAACTATATATACTAAGGAAATGATCTATACCTAAAGGGGAAAATAAAAAGGGGGAACAAAAAAAAGGGGGGACATGATACATACTTAAAGGGGAAGACAAAGAGGATAGTATGTATTTAGGAATGTAGGGAAGGTGGTTATGACAAAAGGAGGACTTGATACAAGTATGAGGAAAAAGTGTGTAGCTCAGTAAGTTACTATAAGAATCTGTATACAGGACACACAGTTCTGTACTATAGAACTGTGTAGAAACTATTGTAAGCTGTTAGGCAGGCTTACATAAGTCTGAAACAATTTTGCTACAGGTTGATACTAATAATAGACTTCTTTTCTCACTTTAGTACAAGTATAATTATGTACACAATACTACTTTGCTTCTACTTACTAGTACTGACATTTATTTTTATACACACACTATAAAGCTAAATACTTTATTTGTTTAGACCCAGAGTTACAATACTACTATGTACAACTACACATTAAAAGGGTTATGTTTCATTAGCTAAGAAGTAAAATTGTGTGTGAGTTTAGGTACTACATACTTGTTACAACTATATCTTTGCTTTATTTATATAGATCCAAATGCTTGTATAACACATTAACTAGTAGTATTGTTACAGACCTTATACTAGAGGCAAAGGTAAGAGTTAGAGGCAAAAGCTAATACTGTTAAGTTTTACTGAGTTTAACTCTAAACTAATATTTACTAGACTAATAGTTAGTTAGCTAGTAATCCCTTCACACTACTGTAGAAGTTTTAGTAGGAAGCTTTAATACAGTAATTTCTTATAATCTTGGTCCTCTAATACTAGAGATTTAGTAGAGAAATAATTCCTTTTATATCTTTTTAAAGATTTGGTAAGATAATGTGTAATTATGGTCTGAGAAGGAATCTTAATTCATTATTAGTATTTTATAATTGTACTACAGTAGTTAGACTTGTTTAAGACAAACTGTATTAGTGTAAAACTGTATAATTATATACTATATACAGTATTTGACAAAAGTATTATACAGACCTAATCTATTAATTAAAAAAGATTATATACAGACAACTAAGAACTATAATTATAAGATATAAGTACTATTATTTACTGTATAATATAGCAAAAAAATAAGTTAAAAAAATAACTATATATATTCTAAAATAGGAGAAAACTTGCAAGATTGTGTAAATAGTTATATACATTTTTTTGGTCATATTATACTGCAAAACATTATACTATACTAGTACTCTATTACTATTAATAATACTCTGTCTTTTGCTCAATTCAGACTACTCTGGATCTGCTGAAATGGCTCTATATCTTACACTAACAAAAAAGTAATATATCTTAGACTAGAAGAGTCAAAGGTTGAGTAATATTAAAATTGTACAAAAACTCAGTTGTAATGTATTGACAGTCTCCTAGAACTACTACAAGCTGCTCAAAAACCCTAACTAATACTATGTCAAATCCAAACCATACCATCTACACAAATTTGACATTCATAAAGTATACTATACTACTTATATACTTGTTTTAGACAAAGTAAAGGATTCTAGCAACCTTAAACACAAGTACTTCCTGTCTGATTCTGTACAAACCATTCATTATGCTTATAAAGGATATAGACTAGTGGCCTGTGTCCCTCTCATTAAACTATACTTGTTTAAGAAGCATATCACTTGTAAGAGATATTAAGCTAGTAAACATTGGTTTTAGACTCTTAAAAAGTAGGAAAAGGTTATTTTCTCAGACAAGACAAAAATCGATCTATTTAAGTAGGATGGAAGGAATATTGTGTACAGGAGGAAGAGGGAGTCACTCTATGTAAAGAACATAAAGAAGGTCATTAAGTATAGTGGTAGACATTTTATAGTTTGAGGATACATTACTATATATAGTGTTGACTGTCTTTATTGTATTGAAAAGAATATGGACTCTAGCCAATACATCCAAATCCTTGACAATTTCTGACTACAACATTCTATGTGCCAAGTTTCTCTTTCAGTAGGATAGAGATCTAAAGTATAAATCTTAAGTAATATTAAAATAGTTATAAGAAAAACAAATCAAACTTCTTAATTGGGCCCCTTTAAGCCTAGACATAAACATTAATAAACATGTCTAGCACTATCTCAACAATAAAGTACAAGCTCAAAATCCACTTCCAAGGAGCATTAATGAATTGTAGAGGATTTTATAGAAGAAATAGTACTAAATAAATAATGAGTATATTACAAGTTTGTATACTAGTATACCTAGACAAGTTAATACATTACTAAAGGCTCAAGGAGGGTATACTAAATACTAAATCACTATATTAATATAACAAGTTTTTTTAATATAAATGTGTAATATAATAAAATTATTAAAAGTAATTAAAAGAAATATACAGACACTTTTTCTTAAATTAAAGTATATTAATTATTATAAGTAAGTATTAAGTCTAATTATTATACTAACATTATATACACAAGGTCTACTTTAATAATACAGTATTTATTTAATATAAGCTAATATAATAATAATTTTAATAAAGAAAGAAGTTTGTGAAATACTAATGTGTAATACTTTTGTCAAATACTGTACTATAAGGTCTCTAATATATACTGTAAACTCAAAAGAAATTAGGCCTTCTGTACAAAGTAAGATAAGATCTAAGATAGATTTTTAGCACTTTAGCTAGTTTTATTTTCAAATATTAGTATATTAATTAAATTAGTTATTAAACTTACTATAAGTGTTTTTTTAAAATATAAAATAATACAAGTAAGTCTTTCTCTACTCTTTATATCTGCTAAATTTAGAGTATATAGGAAATGTATTTAAAACAATTAATATAGTTCAATCTTACTATTACAAAAATTGTTAGGTTCAAACATTAGTGTGTGTTTACTATACTATTATATTGTACTATTTTACAATATAGAAACAGAATTCCAATCCTTTACTAAGCTCAGCTTCTAATCCTTTACACTTTTTAACTTTGTTTAAGTAATTTAACTTTATTAGTAGCATTAACAGACTAATCTAATAACTAAAATCTGTATCTGCTTACAGTATTTATTAGACATTTTGAGCCTTCTACAGTTACACTTACAGTTAAATAAATCCTCTCTGATTTTATTAAGCACTATTCTCTTATTTCATCTTGTTAAAGAAAGTAAGGACTAAATGAGTAAAATGGATTCTTTGTTGTACTACTATTTAATAATCATAATATAGTAATCAGACTGGTTTTAGACAAACTGTATTAATACAATACTATATAACTGTATAATGTACACTATAAAGTCTGTAGTACATTCTAGTAATTTATAAACTTATATAAAGTTAAATCTGAGATTAAGTTTCAGCTTCTCAGTTGGTTTTATTTTCAACTATTAGTACTCTAACTGAATAAAACTTTAGAATCACTACAGTTATCTTCTGGAAATGTAAGTTCTCTACTCTTTATGTCTGTCAAATTTAGGATATATAAAGATTTAATAATAATAGTCTTCTAATTCAGAAGTATGTGTTTGAATAATTGCTCATCTTTACTTCAACAACAACTTGATTACACAAATTATTAGGTTAAAAGAATAGAATGTAGTTTAAGAGAAAGAACTGCTACATATTTGTTGAAGTGAGTTAGCTGTTTCAGATAAAGTTTCTATCTATTCTAAATTTAGTAGATACAAAGGGCAGAGAAAGATTCACTTGTGTTACTTTGTGTTTCAAGAAGATACTAGTAGTTAGCCTGGCAGTTAACTTGGTTAATATGCTAATATTTTAAAATAAAACTATCTAAGATGCTTGAACTCAATCTTGAGATTAACCTTATTTTTTTCAGAAGGACTGATTCTCCTAAGATTACAGAATGTACTAGGGGCTTTATAGTATACAGTATATAGTCATACAACTTTGTATTAATGAAGCTTGTCTCAAATCAGTCTAACAACTAGAGTACAACCATTAAATGCAAAGAAGGTGTTAAGATTCAATCTAAGACTATAATGTCAAATTACTCAGATGGTCAACATTCTAACAAAGCCTTGTGTTTCAGTTAAGTCATCAAAACAATATAAAATGGATACCTTTCCTGTCGAATCTCTAGGTTCAAAGGACCAGAATCACAAGAACTTACAGTACTGAAGATGTCTGCTAAGACTACTATTGAACAAGCTTTGACAGATAGTGCTGTTCGACAAAGTATGTTATTAAAACCCTGGCTCTGCTTTGAGGATTAACATATAGGTGATCTGTATTATAGCTGCAGAGAATGATGGATGGTCAATGGACGTCAAGCAAGATAGCAATGATCCGAATAAATACATTGTTAGTGAGTGGATTGCATACTAACTCACGTCCATACAATGACTATCGCTACTCAGGATTGAGGAGACCAGAAGGGTCTAGTGGTGCTGCAACCAGAGTCAACCAAGCACTTCAACGATCTAAGAGGACGCTCAAAAAAGTTGAAATCAAAGCCGATCGGAATGGAAACGTTGATTTGGCAGTAGCTCACCAGGCAGTTTTGAATGGATTTCATTCAGCATTTAATTCAATAGAGTATCGTAACTGGTCAAACAAAAGGATGAAAGCAGCATGGGATGCAGAACAAGCTCGAAAACATGGCGGGCCGTCAGCCTAGCAAATACTAGAAAGCAATAGTAGAAACACATTTCTGTCTGAGTAAAGACACTAGTTTAGAGAAATGATGCTTTAATAGATTATATAGAAATAAAGATACAGCAATTAATAATGGATAAGAGTTTGGAATTTCAATTGTTTGAATCCAACTACTTTCAATTACAACTTTGATTTTATAAGAAAGTATACTGTAAGGCTGGAGCCTCACTCAGGAAACAGAACAGGCAATAATATGGGATTGAGACTAGTGACCTAAGTACAGAAGCAAAGTATGAAGATAAGACTCAAAGTAGCTACCTATAACCTTTTTATATGTATTTGAAGTCATGTGTGTAACCTGAGAGGTTACACTCTTCCCTATTCTGAAGAGATAAAAGGGGGTAGGGAAGAAAAGAAGGAGAACTAAAGAAAAAAAGAGAGACAATAGAAAGAAAGAAAATAAGAAAAGAAACCTGGGTTACTGGGACTGGGAGTGATACTAGCAGGGGCTCTATACTCTGACTAGGTTCTGGACTGGAGGTGACACCAGTAGGGACTCTATACCCTGACTAGGTCCTGGACTGGGACTGGGACTGGGAGGCTCGACTCTGCATTCCATATTCTCCAAGCATACGTTCTCTATGCTTAGCAAGCAAGGAATATGAAGTCGCAAGGTTATACTGGAGATGGCATGAATCAGAGGCAGGTAGCTAGGGATCTCCGATAGAGTATACGCTCTTCAACATCACCGATGAGTATACGACAAAGCAGATCGGCTGTCGAGACAGAGACGTGGTTAGACATCTTGACGTCGTTGGAGAGAAAATGAACATCAACGACGAGCATACAATGAGTCAAATCGGTCGTCTCAGGAAAGACGAGGAATGAGACAACACGGCAGTCAGGACGACGTAGGCCTAGGTATCCTGTCAGAGCAACAGTAACAGGGATAGGGCACGTCGGACTGGGACTCGGTACGGAAGAAAATAGTGGTAACAGTATAGCAGACGCGAGAGAAAGCATTGCCGCTGATAAGGAACACGCAATGAGGGGTCCAGGAAGACTTCGACTCGTCAATGAAAATGCATGGGGACGAATGGATGTCAATGAGGAACACACAGTGACGAGTCCAGGAAGACGTCGACTCCGGGGACCTCCAGCAAGTTCAAGTACAGTTTCCTAGACAAGAAGACGAAGATCAAGGATCCTTCTATGAGACGGACACTGGACGACGTTGAGCAAGACATAGGTATCCAGTAACAGCAGCAGAACTGGGACAAGGAAACAAGGGATTAGAGTTTGGTACGGAAGAGAACGGTGGAAACAGTATTTGCGCGACGGACACAAGCTCAAGAGTGGATGTTGATGAGGATCATGAGGGACACGTTGTCACGAGTCCAGGAAGACTTTGACTCGTCAATAAGGGCGTGCAGAGACCTCTGGCGGAGTTCAAGTACAGTCCGCCAAACAAGAAGACAGTAATCTCGGAGCCAAGTAGATAACAGGGCAGATACCAATAGCAGTACCAAGATAGCGCTCTTGTTAACATATATGGAATGACGCATATAAGCAACGGACGCACCCGAGACATAGCTACATATTATATATACCTACTGAATCAACGGACAATGACGCTAAGGAGAGCAAGCCGAGTCCACTATCCCCCCTCTTTGTGTGATCCCTCTAAGCCTCTCACATAACCCCTCTCAACAGGTTATGAGCCTTGTGCTCCCTGCCTATGCTTTATCTACACTCTACTATGTCTATGCTCTATGCAGCTCTACGGATCGCATGCACGCACGCAGCATAATACAATGCAGAACTCGACTCACCTGTCTGAGTATCCCAAACGCAAATCGATACGCTGCAAACACACAATCTACCATACTACATACAACCCAGACATTATATGATTGTCATCTTAGTGATTATGATCATTGGCCCAGTAATAACATAAGCTATGCAGGCAATGCTGAAACTACAATGAGTATCACTTACTGTGACATTTAATCACTAAAATATTCTATAATATTACAGAGATCATGTTATTATAAATAACTGATCATACTACAGACGAATGTTAGAAGGATTGAGAAAGCAAACGCTACTCATCTGCTATTAATATTATAATAGCACAAATGATTGACACTGTCAACAAATGTACATATATTATAGTATAAATAAAATAATAACACATATAGCAATATCACAGCCAAACAATTAATGTAAGACATGTCTCAGATATGTTGGACATGTTGGATATGAGATAAAACAAGTTAGCAGATATCCATCTGATATCTAAGACATCTGATATCTATACACTAATACAGCTTATGAAAGCGTACAACTATCTACAGACGAATTAATAATAATAATAATAATAATAAAGTTACAAAGTACATTACAGTAACTATAGTACAGGAACAAGTACACAATTATAGTCTTTAAACAAATAATGATACTTTACACCTATGATAGTGTAAACATATAATAACAATATATAATAACAGCAAACAGTAGAATAATACCTCTACCATTACTACAACAATGTAACAGAACATATTTAATTGTACAGAACGTAAATATACTTTAACAAAGTATAAATAAACTTATATTGAAGCTACAAAGCTTATATACAAGTGAAGTACTATGCCAACATGGCTAGTACAACAAACAACAGAAAAACTACAACAGACACACTTATTATAATGATTACAAACAAAAACAATTATAATATAATAAGATTAAATAAATTAATAAAACGTTTAACACATTATCTTAGACAGTATAATATATAAAGAAAAGCAGACACAAGCATATCTATTACATCTTATCAGAGATATGAATAGATGCACAACTGATGTTGTAACTGTAAACACACAGAGAGATTTCTTAGCACATCTAAAATATTACAGACATATTACAAACATTACATTAAAATTTATAAAACAAACAGTACAATGTTACAGTGTAATGTTTAAACAAAATGATGTATGTCAAACATTATGAGTTAACTTAAAACATACTGTTATATTATAACACATACTGACGAACGTACAAAAGTAAAATAACAAAGTACTAACACTACTTGTTAGATTACAAATACATGAAAGGAAATCAACAATGTACTTATGTACTTACACTACTTGTCAATTACTCAAAGAATAACCTTCTCAAATTGAAGGAGAGTAATTGAATAATATACACACTAATGATGAACATTGAATTCTTAATGTGGACATATTGACTATGTCACTAAGTGAAATCCACAATGAATCTGACGAATCTATTGAATGCAAAATACCTTATTAAAGAATATAAAAGTTATACATTACATAACATTTTCAATGCTTATAAAAGTTATTCAAACAGATAATTAATAAATTAATAATAATAAAGCCTAGAAATGGTACATATTCTCAAAGCATTCTTTGTAGCAAATGTGCAAACGTTCACAACACAAAACTGCAGATGAACAAATGAATATTCATAATGTGGAAACATCAATCTTATTACTGATCCTAAAAAACAATAAGTGATAGAAGTTACAGACAGATATAACAGATCACAAAGGTAAATCATTTGATGCAACACAAAATAATGTCAATTGGTACAAATAACAGAAGTCAACACAATGCACAATTGAACTTCAACATTAAATAAATAATAATTCCACTACAAAACAAATGCTCATACTTGGCAAATAATATTAATATAATAATCTGATTAACTTAACAATGTTTAATACAAAAATAAATAAAATACAGACAATTATCACATTATATAATAAAATAATTCATCAATTCAGACTATAGTTCATAGATAAAAGTAATGAATAACAAAAATAATACTTCAGAACATACATAAAACAATAAATAATATATCCATACAATAATATGAATATAATTGCAATATAATTCGCAACTGCAATCAGACAATACAAAGATAATAACTATACAAACAAGTATGGAGCACATACATATAATCAAATAAAACTATTAAATTGATTCTTGTACAAATGATTAATTTGCCCTCACTACACAATTAATACAAGCATGAACAGTATTATAATACTATGAAATACATCAGATAGATACTAATAGGTATATCTATATGATGATTCAAATAAAATAAATAAAACCAATATATAAAACGTTTTACCTAGCAAACCAATTAACAAATAAAACGTTGAACAAATACTACAATTGTACATAGTACTAGATTAACTAAAGAACACTAGGAGACAATTATAGTAAACATAATCTGATATATCACTTATATACAGATTGTGTTACAATACATCATTCTTTGCAAAAGAAAAAGTGAAGAACAATAGCCATAACATACACACATATATATACACAATACTACAATTGCAACAATTCACAACAACATTGTTAATAATAAATAATACAAACATACAATAGAAATGATTTACAACAGATAACTATGCTGGCTATTAAAGAAACAATACAACAAATCACATAGTTACTCAGGATACATTAGAAACAATTAATTAACAAACATAATGTTAATAAATTAATACATAACTATAAACAATAATGTAAAGTGAACGAACAAACAATACATTCATAATATAATACATATATGATGCACTTAGACACATAGTAAGCTGCCTACAGCCAGATATAATATCTATGCAACAAATATATGTTAGCATAAAACCTTATCAATCTTAGAATGAAGCAATCTGGTAAAAACAAATAACATTATTAATATTACAACATACAATCAATACAAAGCTTCAATCCAAAGACATAAATCAGCTATTGCTGAATGCTTAATGTATATACAAATGTAAACAAACACAGACAGCAATGATTAAAGAAGGATATCATTGCAACACCAGATATACATTTTACTAGCATGGTTCATTAGTTTCACAGCAAAGTAAAAAGAAATTACTAGTAATACTCAAACAAACTTAATAAATAAAACACACACATTACAATCTTACACAGCACTCATGAGATTCTACAGGTCTCTGAAGCACATATAATATTAATAACGATTTCGAACAATTTATTGTGAAAACAATACTGTCATTGAACAGTAAACTATGCACAAACTTTGAATTAACTCTGAACAATTTCAATCATGTTGAACAGTCTACATGACAACAAACAATGACTTAATAATATAACAATGAACAAAGTACAGAACTAATAACACAATACTGAACGAAAACTTAATAGATATCTAACAACACACAAAGTTAACACACAGTAGACTAAAATATACAATACAAACAATGTATTTATATTATACAAATCATATTATTATATGCAATACACGAGCAAATATAATACAGACACAACATATAATGCAGATACAATACTAATAAAAATATTGGAACAATCTGTAAATCAAACATCTTATAGGTCTGGCCAACTTATAAATGTTTGAAGAGGAGTAGTAGTAGTACTATAACTACCCCTAAAAATAAAAATAAAAATAACTACAAATCAAATAAACAAATAGTTGCAAAACAAACATATTATTAAACTAATATATGTTTGAAGGGGAGTGTTAACATATATAGAATAATGTATATAAGTAATGAATGCACCTGAGACATAACTACATATTATATATACTTACTGAATTAACAGACAATAATACTAAGGAGAGCAAGCTGAGTCTACTATCCCCCCTCTTTGTGTGATCCCTCTAAGCCTCTCACATAACCCCTCTCAACAGTTCTCTTTGTATAATAGGAGCTGGCAGGGTGGAGGAAAGACAGTATAGTTTATAAGGTAGTTAGAGAGCTCTCTACTGTTAATATAGTCTAGAACAAGTAAGAGACCTTAGATACATTAAACAGAGGGTGAAAGATAGTATTCTCCTTATACAATCTTAGGACTAGCATAGTAAGAGTTTCTACAGGTTGTTTCCAGAAAGTGTTCAGGTAGAGTAAAGGTAGGACTCTTAACTTTTTGTATCTAGGCCCTAAATCCTACAGTTCAATTAGGGATGACTCTAACTAACCACTTATGTAATTCTAGTATACTGTGGCCCTTGTTATAAACAGAGTGAGAAGTTAGGAGAGGGGTTTGGGGGGGCTCTGCCACCCTAATTAGGTTTAGGATAAGTTTGGACTGTTAGGCTTAGGTGTTAAGTTGGGTTTTAGTTAGGATTGGGGGAGGGGAATATTTATTTTCTTAGGAAAAGTACTTTATTTTAACTTAGTGAAATGTGAGAGGAACTACATGTGGCCAATTAGAGC